TCTTACTTAAATATTTTTGCACTGTTTAACAAAGCCGGTTTAAGAAAAAAGAGGCAGAAATAATTCCTAGATGATCTATCGCATTCTTACATCGCCCGGGAGTCAATCACGGCGACCGCATCGTCAGCCTGAGCTGCCTTTCGCAACTCTCTGACACATTTAAAAATGCTAAGATCTAATTATGTATCAATGATTTCTCGTTTTCAATCCCGGGTTTTCAATGCCCGTTAGATGTAAATAAATTGAGTTTTTTCAAATATGTTTTCATTAAACAGCCTGGAAAAATAAACTTATTTCAAAATTAATCTAAACGTTTCAAAATTTGCGTTTAAAATCTATCACTTTGATGTTGTATGAACAAAAATAATATTTAGACAATTACACAGACTGGATATTCTAATCCGTTATGAAATGCCATTTGTTTTTTCCTCTATAGGATGTTTCTATGGAAGTTGATTTGTTTACTAGTATCTTAGTGTTTAGAGGCTTGTTAGGCTGCTCGCAAGATCTGATCCTCTCATTAAGTAATGATGTAAATTGTTGAGCAAGTGTAATTTTAAATTCTTTTTGAATGTGGAAAGAGTATTGGAATGAGTAATTTTATGAGGTAAAGTGTTCCACAGGTCTGACCTTGTCTTAGTTATAGAGTATTTTCCCATGTTTGTTCTGAACGTACTCGATCTCAGATTGTATATTATTTTGTCTAGTTTGAATGTGGTAGAATTAATGATTCTCAGTTTATATAATAAGGTTTTGTCTCTTGGAGCTGATGATTACATCATAATAAACTAATTACCCTTCATACAAGTATGCTGATTTTTTCATAAAACATTTGATATATCTCGAGCTCCAGCTACTGATAATTTGAAGATTCTACCTGATGCCTTTAAGACGTTTTAGAGAAAAACTTAACAGTGAGGGCCTTTTGTACACTCCCCGCCCTTAGAGCTTCTATGGTCAATTGCTAATGAGTTAATAATTAGCTAATAAATCCATATTTTGCATATAAGACTTCGATTGTTTATATTACGCTTCCTGCTATTGTTACAATTAGCAATGTTTAAAGCTATGAACGCTTTGACTGCTTTGCTATTTTGATGAAGTATTTTGCTGACATCAGCACATTATATTTCGAATAAAGTTGACATCTTAGTTAAGAGAGTAACACTGTTCTTTAAAACATTACGTTTTGACCATTCAAGTCCAAATATACGGTTGTAAATTGATTAGATATTTAAAATCAATTGAAATGAGAAAAATATCTATTACCGCTGACTCAGCACTTAATTACGGCATTAATTTTTATCAGTTTCAAGGTTCAGTTCAAGGTTAATCATGTAAATGTGACATGAAATCACTAAAACCATGTAAAAGCAAGTATATAAGTTCTTAAATCTAGATTCGTAAAATCTCTACTTCTGTACTTATGGAATATTGTAAATTCTGCTGACCTTCATCAGAACACATCAGACCAACACATCATGCAATAAAAAATGAGACACCAACAATCTGACCAAGACCACATTAAGGTTAAATCTGTTGACAGAGATGTATGGCTGCCACAGACAACTCTAGAATTACTTGGAAAACTTACGCATTTGAAACGTTTATCATTACATGATATCATTTATGAGAAAATCGTGAAGACCATATTTCGAACATTGTGTGGGTAGTTCGATGTAATGTCTGGTTTTATGAGAAAATTGGGAAGACAATATTTCGAACATTGTGTGGGTAGTTCGATGTAATGTCTGGTTTTATGAGAAAATTGGGAAGACAATATTTCGAACATTGTGTGGGTAGTTCGATGTAATGTCTGGTTTTATGAGAAAATTGGGAAGACAATATTTCGAACATTGTGTGGGTAGTTCGATGTAATGTCTGGTTTTATGAGAAAATTGGGAAGACAATATTTCGAACATTGTGTGGGTAGTTCGATGTAATGTCTGGTTTTATGAGAAAATTGGGAAGACAATATTTCGAACATTGTGTGGGTAGTTCGATGTAATGTCTGGTTTTATGAGAAAATTGGGAAGACAATATTTCGAACATTGTGTGGGTAGGTTGATGTAATGTCTGGTTTTATGAGAAAATTGGGAAGACAGTATTTTCATTATGTGGTAATCTAATTTAAATGCTATCAATCCTTCGACATATTCACTGAATACCATCTGAATATCATTTGGAAAGATTATATTGTTTTAAAAATCGGTAACCTAACTAATATTTCTGATGACGTTGCAGATGACGTTTGTACATTAGAAGTTATAGAAGCTGTCGACTCGGATGGATTACTGCGTATGCCTATTAGTATAAAAATATATATCGGGCTACACGTCAGTCTGTTCGCCGGACATTTTTGATGACAGCTCTACTATATGCAGATTGCATCCCCGGTTATTTGCCATTCCGTAATATCTTGGATATACAGGGTGGTCAAAAAATGGAAACCCTGCATTTTCCTAATATCTTTGTTATCTTAAGGAATAACTCCCTGATATTTCACACTTTTGTACACCATTCAATTTTCTACCACCATACCAAATTTCATGACCATCAGACTGATAGTTACAATTTTACAGCACTTTGAATAACATGCTTCAAGTTTGGCCATCATCGCGCTGTAGGCAAACCTGCACAGTTGCCAATGGTCCGAATGCATCCTCAGCAGGTATGGCCTGAATGATACGGATGATCTCATTTTTGAGGTTTGTGATTGTCCTGAGGTCATTCTCATACACTTTTTCCTTGCCATATCCCTTCAGGTAGGGACATTTTGAACGGCGAGTGCAGGTGACCCGACAGCGCAAAAATGGCCACTAGGGCATGTTCTGTTAAAGGACAACTGAAATAGCTTTCCTCAACTTGCAGCTACAAAAATGCGGTTTTCTCCATTGTTAGCCCAACGTAGAGTTCTTGCGATAGTCATTATAAAATAAATGTTAGATAACTACTAACGGTCATGGATAACGAAATAAAACTAACTGTTCGATCAAATTGACCTTTTGCGATCAGAAATTGTTTATTTACAACGTTGCTATGCAGTTCGTTCGGTGTGGTCACGTGATCAAATTTTTGGCAGCCATTTTTGTTCTATTTACATTTTTATTCTATTTTATTGGATTTTTATTGGATTTAATACAAATAGACATTATTATGCGTTTTAAAGATAGAAAATGGAGCGTGATTTTAAGTTGCTGAACAGAAAGGAACTTCAGTCATACCTATTTAGAAGAGGAATTACGTTTTCAGGATACAACAAGGAGAATCTTTCAATTTTATGTTCTGCTGTTTCGAATTTGAATTTACCAACAAATCCAGACTTATTTTCAGACAATTCACCGAGCTATTAATTTCGTCAGAAGCTGCAAGACATTCATAGTTTTAAGCAGGACCCTTCAACATTATGTTACAATTCTGATTTTCAATTCGCCCCACCCTTTGGACTTTGTGATATTTTCAATTATTTTTATATGCTACAGCAGAATATGATCAGCAGATACTGAAGGCCTGGAAGTCCTGCATTGATTATAGATTGTTTTATGATCGCAAATCATCAATTGGCCCCCACGTGATTATTAACGTCATATACAAAATATAGCTTTTGTTTATTGATTCCTTAGTAATCACAACGTCACGGCAACCATAAGATTGTTGTGCAAACAAATAACAAAACATTTTGGCAATACGACGTCATGATCTTATGGACCGAAACGGGCCACGTGGGGGGCCAGTGAGAGATCACGTGGGGACCAATAACGTCACAACCAATTCGAATATTGCTTATTCACTCAAGCCACGTATTCCTTTCATTATAACGAATTTTATGTAACATGACTTTATGCTTTTATTCCGCTATTTAATATACGCTCTACCATGAGTATTTGGTATCAAATTAAACGTCTCTTAATCCTGCAAAATATCATTTAGTTTTTATCTCAGGGTTATAAAAGCTGAACGCATTATCAATCGTCGAACATTCCAAACTATCATTTTTTGCCTTGTAACCGATCACCCTTATGTTGATTGACAGTAACTTTTTTATATTCTGAAACGTATTTTGTTATAATAATTGACTATTTCATCACAAAGACTGCATCGTGTCGATTGTACGTTAGCTGGAATTAATTTATTTGCTAATTTACTATTGAAAAATCGACATTAAGTATGTGTAACCCTCGAAGGCACCATCATCGACACCATGCTTGAAATCAACGGTGTCGAGAAGCCTCTGCACTATTCATGATAATTCCCCATTTACTTCTTTGAAATATAAATTGCCTTACTAACGGATGTAAAACATTTTCACAATACATTTGAATATAACATATTTAGCTTGTTACGTATTTTTCGACGTAAAGTACTATTTTTCAAAATCATCATCGACTCTACAAGTACGTTGTCTTTGCACTCTGCTTTCAATCAAAATCAGGTTTCAATGTTAAGTAATGGTGTTGACGGTTTGTCTCAATATATATTGATAATATAAAAATACGCTTTATTGATGTTATTCTTTGACCACGTAAAGATTGAGATATTTAGGACCATCAACGACTCCACCACATACGACTCCAAAATACTATCCAGATATTAAGTAGGTCACATGTATAATCGAACGCTATATATTTGTTGAATGAACCTACATTCATTAAATGACTATTTTGTTGTATGTGTAGCATTTTACAGTGATACCGGGCTAAGGATTTAGAGGATATTGTTCATTGTGATTACAACGTATAGTGATAAGTAAAATTGATTCATGTTATTTACTTATGATGCATATTCTGTTTGTCTTGAAATGCTATGGTAATGTGACACAAGAATTGGGATGATTGAGCAGTTCATAGTTTTATAAAATCACTGACAAATATAGATGCACATTCCCCGATATTTCTTAATTTATAAACGTTTCGTTTCGTGTACCACTAGATATAATAATTTCCCACACTCTCATTAATATATCTGTCTTACTTATCAGACCTTTCTGATGATATAAGAATATGGCACTCACCACGCCGAGAAGTGCCGTCGTTCCCTACAGAGTACAGTACAGGTAGAGAAAGAAAAATAAGGATACTAAAGGCTTACACCGAGAAATAACCTGTCTGCTGAAGCTATTCAACGGATCGGAGAAAAGAACAACAAGGCATCCCGGGAATACAGGGCACGCATACGCCAAGTGTATAGAGAAACAATCAAAACACGCCAGACTGAAGGGAACGCTCAGAGTCTCAAAGTGAAACTACCAGGACACAAATGAAAATCCAAGAAATCCCAGAACGCATTATTAAAACATTGAAGATAAGGCGACTGGACTTAAGCCAGTACCAGGTACCTTTCGAATCAATGCTGTGAGAGGGGTTTCCGATAATATTGTTGAAACGCGAGAATTATCGTGCTATTGTGACGCATGCAGAACAGATACGTCATCCTCACCCTGTGGTTGGCAAAGGAACAACCTTATAACCGTTAGGAAGACCCAGCAGGCAGCTAAGGTGGGCACCGAGCAACCATCTTTAAAACCAAAACGGAGCACACCCGACACCCAGTACGTCAAGTAAAGCATCGACGCCCTCCGACGTTTCCACTCTTTCAACCATATTGAAGCGTCGGCCTTTAGTAACCCCATCTACAAGTTCAACGTCTTCAGACACAATTGTTTCCGCGAGGAAAAAAGGAAAGGCCCGATAAAAAGAACAGACACTGTAAATATTTGCAAGGCATGCGGTGTCAACTATTATTCATTTACAATCGCAGTTCGAATGGATCAAGTGCTCTAAATGTCCCGACTGGTTTCATGATTCCGGGAAATGTTCTCGTGCAAAGGGGATACTCATTGGAGAAATATTTCCATGCATTAATTGCAATAAAAGACCTTAAATGTGTAAATTATGTAAACGTTATTGTTTAAAAACCTAAGCGACCATCAGCGACACTGTTAAATAACACTTAATATCACAACGAGGAGTGATTGACCTATTCGTAACAATGTTGTATTTTGATGTAAGAAGACATATGTGTCTAATTTGTACATTCATTTTGTCGATCGACGAATTGACTTGGCATTTTATTTAGCTTAGAAAACAAAATCTTGAAATTAATTATCTTTAAGGAAACTCAAAACAATGTATTTCAATGGTTATCTTAATAAAATTCTCTTGTTAAGATAAACAACAACTATTGCAATTTATTTTTGTTCATGTGATTGAATAATTCAAACTTAATACATTAGTTTATCTTTAAACTCAAAATTAATTTTGAAACATGAATCAATGTAAGCCTATGTATGCACCATCATCGACACCAGCAATTTAAGAGTATATTTATGTTTTGATGCACAATCAAGTAATTGTTTAAAGGGTAATAAAAATATTTTGAGAAACACTTCTTTAACCCTATGGCTAATGGTATATGCATTTATATCTCAATCTAAAATTTCATTTTTTCAACTTTTACATTGATCAAATGTGAAGGAGATTCGTGGCTTGACTGTATTAATCAACTATAACGATCGTTAGAGTGAAATAATTTCCACACCACTGATGAGAAAACATGTCTGAATACATTTATCTAAAAATTATATTGATTCCTTTAGGTTAAAAATACCATTTCATATCTGCTTTAAGTGCTGTAACATTGTGACTATCAATCTGATGGTCATGAAATAAAGTAAGCTGGTTGGAAATTGAATGATGTACAAAATATCGGGGAGTTATTTCTTATAATGACAAATATATGAGGAAATGGTGTAAGGGTTTCCATTTTTTGACCACCCTGGTACTTGACGCTTGATAAAGAACCCTGAGCGACACGAATAGGCTTTTGTATGCAAACTGACAAATAATCACTCAACATCTAAACAACTTAACTCTTTACAAGTACGTACTGCATATGAGGTTAAATGTGAATAGTTCGATTTGTATTGAACGGATATAGCAATACTTCGAAGGGACAGCACGTGTTTTTATTAGGCTCCTGTCGATAATTTTACAAAACCTCTATAAGAATATTTATGACTGTTTAAAATATGGCTATTTTGACAAAACGAACTCCGAAGTATGCGAAGGCTATTGTAGTGTTCACAGTTTTGATCCTTTGTTTGATGTACGTATACTCTAGAGGGCTACAGACAGAACAAGACTCTCAGGTAGTACAGCAATAAATAGTTGATAAAAGAGGTTTCGCACAACGGGTTAAAGCTGAACGTATCTGCAACCGCATGTTGTTTGGATTAAGCATAAATTTGGTGATTGCGTCACGGATTTTAGTTAATTAATGAAAACACAGAATGAAATCCTTAGCTACCGTTGCGCGAAACCTATCTAATATCTTTCATAATGCATTTTACTGAATTAGGAACCCTATACCAGGGATTAAAGAAAGAATGATCATACATACCTTCATAACAATATAATTTAAACGCATAGCAAACATTTGCTTGATTCGATTTTTAAAACAAAAATAATGTCAACACAATCTACACGAATCATGTAATGTGCTTACGTTGTTAAATTCAAAGGAGTGGTATCGATATGGTGAACAATTTGAACACGCGTTTCTCTTTAAACCAGTCATAAAAATCTAAAAATTTAACACATCGTCAATTTAATGGTCATATTGTTTTAGAAAACACATCAAACACTTGTTTTGTTCTTGGTATCATGTTTCCAGAGTGAAATGAAACATCTTTCCGAAAAAAGTATCTTGTTAATGAAATAAAAGGTTTATCTTGATTTTTATCTATTCTGGGGAGAGGTTGTTTTAATTTTTTGAATACTTTTATAAAATCAACCAAAAAATCCTTTGTATAACTATAATATTGAGAGGTCAAAAAACATGTTGTATATTATGCTATTTTGTTCCAACAAGGTTCGAAAAGACATTTCATTTCATTCTCAAGAATTGGTAGAAAAGAGCAAAAACGATTGCACTAAAAAATGTTAACAAAAAACAGTTATGTAAAATATTTATTGTATATTATATATTAAATTGTTATCAATCAGTCAACATTGCATAAAATACCGTATATTTTACAGAGTGTTTTTAATGATTGGTTTAAGAGAAAAACATTGTTGAATTCAGTTCACCATATCGATACATATCCTTTGCAAATAACACGGAGAGTACATGCATGTCACCCCTTTATACATAATGTATATCAAAAGATTATGTTCGGGAATTTTAGATCACATTTAACTCTATTTGAAGATTCTTTAAGAATGTTGGGAAAATGTATAGGAGTTTTATAGAATTAATCTAAAGAATTTTTTAGAATAACATTTTGTCATATGACTAGCCAAGATATAGCCATCTTTACCCCATGCAAAATATTGCCATGTTTCTTCGCTTTGATAATGTTTCTTTATCTCGTCTGCAACTCGATAAAGAAGAATTATCAAAAAGCTCATCAAGAATGGAATATCTTGCACAGGTACTCATATAAGAACCTTTATATATTTTAATGCATTTTTATTTAGTTATGTGTTGGACAAATTGCTGCATTTGTATTATAGGTCAAAGCGAGAGCCAGAGAATATATTAAGTTTAAATCTGTTGATAAAGATGTATGGCTGCCACAGACAACTCTTGAATTACTCGGAAAACTTACGCATTTGAAAGACGTTTATCATTACACAGATGCTGATGTGAAGCACATTACTAAAACACTTAAATTCGCAGTAGATGAGATGTCTGGTTTTATGAGAAAATCGGGAAGACCATATTTTCAACATTGTGTGGGTAGGTTACATTTAAGGCTAACAGTCCTTTGGGATATTCATTGAAATATATCAACACCATCAACAATTATGTTTTTCGTGAAGCTTTTTACTTAAGATTTTCTTGTAAAAGAGCCTTAGACGCAAGTATCGATTTTTTTTCTTAGTCTCTAATCATTTACTAGATTAGTATTTCAAATTCGTCTTTTCAAATAATTTATTGTATATTGAACTAAAAGGCCTTTCATTTTATTTTAAGGTTAAATTTTAATCATACAAATTATTTCAATGGCAAAGTTGCTTGAATTCTTTTGGACAAAATAACTTTTGAAAAAAGTTATCAGTATTTTGCCATTTTAGCAACAATAAATCAATTTAAGATTTTGAAGGGTAGCACTTTTTAATTTGCATTGAATCTTGGACAATTTTGGACCAAAATCACTTAAAAAGTGCCTAAAGTTGTGAAAAGCTGTTGAAAGACTTTTGGTCATGGTTCTCAGTGGCTATGGGCCTGCTTACACCAATAATATCTTGATTTGCTGTCATTGGTTTATTTAAGGCATGGCAGGTTGTTTACTTGATATTGGAGCACCACTTGATCATGCGCTGTCGGGTCTTCTTAAAGACTTTTGCTCATGGTTCTCCTTGGCTATGGGCCTGCTTACATCAATATTATCTTGATTTGCTGTCATTGGTTTATTTAAGGCATGGCAGGTTGTTTGCTTGATATTGGAGCACCGATTGATCATGCGCTGTCAGGTCTTCTTCACTCCATTTATGTATTATGTATGTGCTGTCATTGGTTTATTAAAGGCATGGCAGGCTGTTTACTTGATATTGGAGCACCACTTGATCATGCGCTGTCAGGTCTTCTCCACTCCATTTATGTATTTGGTGCACAGGCACAGGTTAGTACACCCCCGCGATAAGTTTGGTAATCGGAAAATGTCATTCCAACGCAGGTTGCCAAATTAATTATTGAACGGGACAATATCTTTTCCATTCAATCGAGGTTTGGCCATGCAGCCGAAGGTAAGCCATACAACCGAATTTTGCCGATTCAATCTGACAGAGAATACCGAGCCTCTCTTTTTGACCAATTAGAGACGTCTTCTTCACATTCGTGGTACCCTCGGCCAACTCCGTTTGCAAAGAAAATTTTCGGCAATCTCCGACTTTTCTTGAGGTATCTTCAGTTGCAAGCCAAAAGTCGACACCCAATATTGAACATATCTGCAAGAATACGTTTTCACAATCCATTTATTAGTGTTCATTGTCACAGACTTCATTTATTATTTGCCTGTGACCATGAACACTAATAAATGGATTTAATATTACAAGACTATGAACTAATTTAATGTAATAAGTTTTCACGATATTGTTGACAAATGTACCAATACGACGTCGGTTTCCTAAAATGTGCAAGGCCTTCATTATAACTGCTACTCTTATGAGCCATGACATCCATATGTTAAAAAAGGCGCAATGTCACAAGTATGCACAAATTCAACGCATCAATAACATAATCAAGAAAAATATGTAAATCAAGTAATCGGAATGAACATGATAAATAGTGTACTTGTATAACGTTGTCATTATAAAAAATATGATATTGTTTTTTTGTAATGCCCAATGTAACGTTACAAAAACATAAAAAATGAAATGCCTGCGCGATACCCTTGCCAGGCACTATACATGTATTTTAAAATATTTTCGAACAATTCTTTTACCGTAAGTTTTGATACCGTTTGTTATGTAAACGTGTTAAAGGTATTTATTATATACAACAATGGTTGATTTACCGTTAATTTAAATTTTGCATTCTGGCGACATTGGGTCCTTTGGTCTCATTTTGTAGCAGTCAACAAAAACGCATAGTTCATAATTTCCTTAAAAGATGGCAGTACAACCCACCTGTATATCTAGAGAATGATAACATATGAACAACACCACTGCCATCTTTATGTCGCCTAAAACCTAGTATGCATTTTACAAAGAGGAGGGAAAGCCCCAGAGTTTAAAGATGACAGACATAATTACCTCTCTTGCTTACCACCTTCGTTCGTTCGAATTTTCATCGGCTAGTTATCAAATACTACACTTCGATGGGATGTTTTAATTGATATAGGCATATTCCGTACACCTTTCTTTATCTTGATGTGAAATGAGAAGCTATGATATTGGTTTACGCGCCAGAAATGAACATAGTATTATTCGAAGCGTATTTCGAAAATTTTGAAACCGCCATTGATGACGTCATTTGTTTGTCGACTTTTGACCAATCAGCGACGATGTCATCTCAATACAGATTTACATTATAAGCGTATGTCATCTTTGAACCCTGGTGTTTCTCCCCCTCTGCATTTTACAATAACTTAGTTGTGATTCATATAGCGATTGTATAAACTTAATCCGGATTGTACGTTTTACGTTCTGGATCAGATTCCATTTGTTCAAATACAGGCAAAACAACGTCTATATTTTTATTATAAAAGTTTTTTTTTTAAATGTGGACGTTTTATGATATATCTTGTAATGGTTTATACAGACGCATTCAAGTATTATAAATAACGTATTAAATTGACCAAGTTATAGACATTTCATGATATGATGTAATCATCAACTAATACCATTTAGGCTCTAACAAATGCAGATGACGTTTGTGAGTTACGCAAAAAAGTTATAGAAGTTGTTGGACTCGAAATGGAGTACTACGTATGGGGCTACACAATCTTCCCGCGGGGAAATCTTGATGACAGCGCCATGGAAATCGCGAGAGAAGCTTTAGATCGAGGACTTTATGAAACAACAAAAATGGGTCCAAAACTGAAAGATGCTGTGTTGGGTCATTTCTGTAATGAGCTCGATGAATTCTACCAACTTGATCAAGTGTAAGTTTTTTTTAATATGATAATTCAGTTGTCAATTTAAATGTCTGAATGGAACGTAAGAATATCAGATTAAATATATATGTCTCTTCAATCACTAGTTCAATAAAACCATAACCGTCTGATGAAATAGCCTTGTAATAATGTTAGGTGTTTGGCTAAATTTCCATGGGAACGTATGTATGGTCTATCGGGCCTGTATTTCTTAAAGGTTTATGGACAACTCATCCCTGGATAACTCATCCCCTGGAAATCTCATCCCCTTGACAATTCATCCCCTGGAAAACTCATCCTCTAGACAACTCGACCTCTGGACAACTCATCCCCTAGACAACTCATCCCCTGGACAACTCATCCCCTAGACAACTCATCCCCTTGACGACTCATCCTTTGCCATGTTTGAGTAATGTAATGTTATATTATCAATTCATATATTCAAATGATTTGTAAATGTTTTTGTTATCAATATGATCAGTTTTAAGTTTCAAAAACATATATTACAATAACACTGGTACTCCACTCCATTATGTTGTTACAGAAACGGATCGTTTCGGTAACAAACTGTCAGAGCCTCGATTTTTCTTTTTTCCTTACTTCATCAGTTGTAAGCAGAATTCCAACAACATTTTTATGTCCAGGGATGAGTTGTCCAGGGGATGAGTTTAGAGGATTAGTTGTCCAGGGATGAGTTGTCTAGGGGATGAGTTGTCCGGTAACCTTCTTAAACACCGGGTTATTTATAATGATATTATGTTCATTTAACCAATATCATGGCTTGTTATTTCACATCAAGATAAAGAAAGATGTAGGGAATATGTTCACACCGATTAAAACATCAAAATGACTAATATCATACATTTACAAAAAGCAGGATTGATGAAGAATGTTTAACTGCAATAATTTTATGCATCATCACATGGCATCGTTTATCGCATCAATGATTGTGTTCGACCACTTAATTTCTATGAAGATCGAATGGAAAATGTTTTTTTAACTATTGTAAAATTCAATGAGTGCTATTTGATCTACAAATGACAACCTGTTGGATAAAACATGTTTTTGAATTATCTATCTTCGGCCATTAGTAGGTAATAGCGTATCACAAATCTTGAAGCTTAAGTGAAATACCACTTAGTGCAATAACAAACTACGTATGGGTATGCGTAATGGATTTACGCTAATCTTAAACTGCATATTTACCAAAAAAAGAACGCTCGTAGGGAATGATTTTCAAAGCGTCTCTCATTTCACATTTTCTTTTCAGGTATTCGGGAAATCGCAAACGAAGTCTCGCATTTAGGAGAAATGCTACGCATATCTTAAACAAACTAGGCTACCCTGAACTCGCAGATAAACTACTAACTGTGTATTCGAAACAAGATCAAATAGACATTCCTAATTCAAAAACGGATCAACACCATACAAAAACAGTCAGGCAGTTTGCAAAAAAGTTACACCAAGTATTTGGGTCAGATCCAAAATATGGTGCCGCACCAAGAAAATTTCATAGAATTTTGAATTTTGACAAAGTTGCTGTACATGAGGTGATGGAGAACTTTGATAAGCATTATTCAGAGGTAGAGAACTTGTGTCCAGATATACCTCTGTATGAACCTAAAGTGTGATTCCAGGAAATAGCAGTAGGGTATTACTAACACTATCACATTATATTGTCTATTTATACTATCTACTCATTTTAGAACGGGCATAAGTCTCACTTCTTGGAGGATGTGTATTGGAATACACAATTATGCAGAAAGTCCTGCGCATTATATAATGACAAGAGAGAAGCTAGGGATCTCAGTCCACGCGCTGATACCAATTCACTCGTTCACTCGTCCAGATATTGATATGAACTCGTGGATAAAAATGATATATCACAAAAATGTAGGATATCCAATACTTATTTCCATTCACTCCTCAATATTCTATGGTTCTTGGGTCTTACATCAGTTATAAAATGTACATTGTACCTCACCATAGTTGACTCAATGAGGTATGTTATTTGTGTTTCTTATAAGATTATTTTACTTGGGTGCATTAGTGTATTTTTGTTTACTCTCTATGCATCAACGTTCATTAGTGCAATGATATACAGGCCCGTAGCCATGGCAATCACAAGTATTATCGCTGTATTTCGGAATAGTTTACCTCATGAGGATGTTTGCAACTATAATTAATGTTTATTCCATTCTGTGCTCCATTATGCTCTATACCTAACACAGTTCAAGCTATTTTTACTGAGCAAATCCACCCAAATCCAGGACCTGCAAATCATTTTCAATTCAAAACATCATCATCTCAAATATCGACATTATGAACTTTGTCTTGTGCAACTCATTGATGAACCAACTCGTTGTAACAAACACCAGCAGATTATGTATAGACTTACTCATCTCAAATAATGTTGAAATCATTACACGGTCTATGTTTATCCCCAAATCGATAGCAATGACCACTGCTCAATACACTGAGTGCTTTTATGGTAATCTTAAAATCGTCCATATTCAAGAAAAATCTGGAAATATGACGAAGAAGATATAAACTTGATTGATAATGCAATTCGTGCGGCAAATTTTGACCAGTTGATAGATACAACGTTGATGACCTAATCAAAAATTTCTCTGGAAGTCTACGGGCAATTTTCACAGACCTCATTCTAAACTCAGATACTGTACAATCAACAAACAAGTCATGGTTCTCAAGTGATATATAACTAATAAAGAAATAAAATGCATTATAGGTATAGGATAACACATGGTGATATCTACCTTCAAAAGTATACGGATCAATGTAAACTAGTAAATGAGGCTATGAGTGAGGCAAAGAGGCAATGGAATCAAGATTGTATTACAAATTAACAACTAATAGATATGAAAGTAAGGGGTATTGGTCAATCATTTGTAGGCTTCTAGGCAAAATACCTCTTCTCAATGGGGCAAATGACAATACTTACTGTAGCTTGTATTCACGAATGCAACTAACGCCTGTGGGCTCAGATCGAGGGTGTATCGATCTTTTGTTTTCATGTCAGAATATTATGACATCGACAATGATTCAATGTGCACTTCTCATCCATTGAATCGTGTGACCTGTCGAGTGATAATGTAAAATCCCACGTTGAAATACATATAACTTTAAAATAAATCGGGTCATTACATTTTGATAAAAGATCTTTGAAATTTTTAAGAATCCACATATGGTTAACCCCGGAATTTTTAAAAATAGCCTTACTATAAATCTCCCTATTATTTGGCACTGTTTACCCTTTAAATTTTGTGTTTTTGAACATGCGGGAATATCTTGAAAACTTTGTAACTGAAGTAGAGTTCCCTAATAGGTCGTTCAGTTTTCTTGTTTGTTTTTGTTCTACACAACACTTGTGTTTAAAGGCAGAATCAGATCTATGGGGGTGAAAAAATTACAAGGAACATGTACAATTGACCTACCAATCTATTCCTTACAATCTCAAATACAATATCTCCCAAAAGATTCACGCTATATCATAAATTGGTGAAGTTATAATGGATTCTAAGTGCAAAAATAAGTAAAAATGTTTAAATTCTCCCAAATAATAAGAATGGTAACCATTCTTAAAGAAAAATAATATGTTATTGTAAATATCTTTAGTTTTCCTGAAATAAAAGATGCACTTTGGTGATTTTAAGAAAATAGACATGAAAAGGAATTACATGAGCAAGAAATATTCTAATATTGAAACAATTTTTTGTTGGGCTGCTAGCTAGATCTGATTCTCTCTTTAATATAGCCACGCGTAATTAACAATAAGCGTAATCAGATTATTTCAAGCGTCGAAATAACTTATTTTCCTGGACGTATCTACACAAACCTATTTCCTTACCGTTAATTTGAGCGATCTAGATGCGTCAGTTATAATTGCTTTCACTCATCGGCTTAAAGTATCTTTCTAAGACTTAGAAGGAGAAATGTGAGATTTCGAGCCATATGTCTCAAGAAATTGCTCTTACCTTTCTAGTAGGATGAGTTCAGGTGCCAAAAACAGCTGATCAAAGGATATATATCATTTTCTAATCGAAAATTTTTGTTGAGCCCTGCATTTTTAACACTGTTTTGACAGGAAGTCATACCCAAAATGAAAACTGAATAAAACAACATTTATCCTAAATGTACATCAAAATACTTACTCAGACATGCAAAATGTTATTATTAGTAGTAATGCTGATCATTTTTAAGAAATTTAAGCATGTAAATAAGACTTTTTTCGTCCATGATTATATAGATAAAGAATTTCCTCCTTCTGGAAGCTTTGGCAGTTTGGTGTAGTGGTTAGAGCTTTGGGCTCAAACAGAGTTTTATTCCAAAAGATCTGGGTTCAAATCCCTCCAGTGGAATATGTTTTAATTCTTTATTTTTGTTTTTTTTCATTTGATCCACAATATTTCTAAAATAAATTTTTATATATGGCACTTAAACCATATTTAGTATTTCCAAGGGTTTTAATTTTTAGATGAAATCATAGAAAGTTGCTTTAAAGTGGACCGCGATATTTTTTATTTCATTTATTTGAGACGCAAATGATATATTGGCAACATATCAAATGTTTTAGATGATTCCTCTTCATTTTGGAATGTTTCTCCTACCCGAAATTCAAATATGTGTCTTAAATATTATTCTTTATATTGATCACGATTCTTGCACTTTCTGTCTTTACGACTCCCGTACACATTTGCAAGAGTTGTTGATGGCATTGCCTTGATCGTTGGTCGAACTTCGATTCCAACTAAATTAGATTAATCAATTAAGAAATGTAATATCATGTTCATCCATGCAAATAATTGTAACAACTACATTATTTTTTAGCAGTTTTGACACCTAAGCAGGGTAGCCTAGTGGCGTAGACTGAGGCTACTTTGCGGTTGAACGTAGTGGGATACGGAGGTCCCGCGTTCGAGCCCCAGGTACGGAGTTGTTGATCATTGTCACTACGGACACCCGGTCCGAAGGTCCAACCGTTTACCGGCCCTTGGCATGGGTTGGTTCTCTGGCCGCTCTCGCCGGAGACAGATTGTGAGACTGTGGTTGGTTCCTCCACTAACGTGCTTTAGTAAACTCCGGGAGTCATATAGTATGGTAGCGGGCCCCCACCAAGGGCAGTAGTGGAACGACGCGAATCGGTCCCAGTATGGTTGCCTTGCAACTGAAGAGACTCGAGGAAATCATGCCATTCGCAGTGACCCAGAAAAGACTTTTGCTTCTTAATTTGACGTTTTAATTCATTTATTTACATACTTTATTCATAAAATTTTCCAGGTAGTTATGATTTTTATTGGTCAAATGAATGAACGAAACATCGAGACATCAAACCCATAATTCGATTTGTCGGACATCTATAAAATAATACTTAAAAACACAAGACACATAGATGCAATCTCCGTAGCATTATATCGTATTGCTTTCTTGAAGAATTTTCTTATATTTCGAAATATTTTGAAATACGTGAATCACATATGATATATATTGATCCTAGAATTGCTCAGAACGCAGTAAATCAGCCCAAAACTCCTAAATATTCCGGGGGAGTATGTCCTCTGGCTACATCCCCCACAAGCCCCCACGAAGTTCGGAGGGATATAGGGAACGCCTCGGTCCGTACGTACGTACGTCGTCCGTACGTACATACGTACGTCCATCTGTCCGCCCGGGCAATAACTCAAATATCGTTGGCCTGATTTTGTTCATATTTTGTAAACATATACCCTATGCGGATAGAAGTTCTGCTAGAAAGCCGATTTTTAAAATGGCCGCTCATTCAAAAATGCCATTTTAGTGCCGATTTTACAGTTATTTAGGTACAATATGTAGAACTGTAATAGCAATTCGGGGTTCGATACTGGCCTGCATAAGTGACCAAACTAGCGTAATCTTTGTTTATGCCCTTGTCACATTTGCTCCGATTTTCACTACGGCGCCCGGCCAATTGAGTACAATATTGTACAAAACACTTAATCGCCCGGGCACCGACTGATGAATCGGAGCAAATGTGACCCAGGCATTATGTGTGCTAAACATAGCTACATGTATGTTTCTCTTGATTTACTCCCACTAAATAGGTAGTGGATATAATGAGTGATTATTTCAGTACTCGTCAGATTTATTTTGGAAGCTAATTCCACAACATTATTAGGTAAACAATATACCACGGGCTTTACAACCTGATAGAGCCCATGAATATACTGAGTGATTTCAGAACTCATCAGATTTTATTTTGAAGGCTGAATTGAGTGATTTCAGAATCAATCAATGAGCGATTATCCAATTATCTCTAATAAGTTCATTTGATTTGATTTGATTTGATAGGTAACGTAATGCATGTCAGTAAGCAAGTAAGACCAAGGTCATCTCAAGGTCAAAGGTCAATGTCTAGGTATTTGGCTTTTTATGACCCTTGGTCTGCGCTACATGTATGACTCATGATAAGTTGACATGAGGTTAAGGTCAACTTAATCTAATCTTATTTTAACACATACAATATCCAGTTTTGTGCACAGATCATGACCAATATCCCAGATGCGAGTAGAAATAATCTTGATCTAAATTACATTTAGAAATGTGGTTTTGAAAAGAGTTTATCAACTTTGAAAATTTAATTTTCTTTGAAAATGTGAATTCTAGGTCGGGGAGATTCCCCATAGACCCCATGTTGCAAAACCACAAAAAGTGAAATATATTTTCTTGTGTTGGGCAGATAATATTTTCTTTTACTGGACATATGTTAATTTGTATAACTATCAGATACATAAGGGTAATATGAAAAGTGAACCACTATTTCTGATGCATATTTAAGTTTAAGGGAATTTTGTAATACCCTGCCATGTTAATTCCCCCGAATCAGCCACCTGGTGGCGAAACTGGTAACTACCTACTCGCATCTGAGTAATTGTTCCTCCTTTTGGGGCTTTTGTGCCTTCAGTATCATTAATCCCTGTGACATAACTCCCCTTGTATATCAATAATAGGGTGTGAAAAAAGCATCTAAACATGTACCTTCATAATTGAAGCAATCATTGTTATATCACATAGAGACAAACATTGTGCCATAATGCGTATCTGTAGGCCTAGAAACATGTAACCATCCCCGATATAAAAATAAAAACTTCAGATGGAGTCCACCTAGATTTTTCATGTCACAGTGGAGATGAAGATAAACTTTGATTTTGTAACAATTACACATGTTCCTAGGCCTATGACTTCCACTTGGTACTACTTAAATGAACGTATGTTGCCTTTCCGTACTCTTTTAAGAGCACAACCTCAAAGACTCTCTTTAAATGACTGGTAGTTCTTTGAGAAAGCATATTTTCGATAAGACATTATATTTATAACAATTTATTTAATGCACACAGTGTAACATTAAATTCACTCCAAGAATCCCATATAAGGTCATTAAAGTCACGTAAGATTGTTCTTATTGACCAACAAGATTTGTGCAATTCAGAGGGCAGTTTTAGTATCATCTATGGCTAGTCTATATTCTTTGAGGTCAGGGTATGCACTTTTAAAATCAGAATCCTCACAATTACAAACCATATCATCAAAATCGGTATTTTCAAAATCTGTAACAGTTTTGTTATAATTAAAGATTTTCCTTGCGATCGTATCTGTGTGCTTATAAGATATGGATGGTACTTCTTGATAGTCAAAATAAGCAGGTATTTTACTTATAACATTCTTGTCATGTAACACTCTGGGCAGGTTAATGTGTTCAATACCCTTATTATGAAAAATATTGTCATAAACCTTTTAGGTTTTAGTTCTTTTGATGTCAAAGTTGGAAGGTACAAATTACTTGTACCCAGGTCTATACAATGCAAATTTTGGGGAATTTTATTATCTGGGAAGGTTTTGTTGGAGTCTTCAAGTATTTTATGCAGTTTTGAATGGGGTAAAGAAAAAATCAAAGTCCTCATATAGTGTAAAGACTTATTTGGGTCACTGTCAATGAGTTTATTTATGTCAATTTCTGGGTGTCTATAACAAGGATATGTGGGAGAAAACACTACATATATTTAATGCATTATGTTACGCTTGTTAGTACAGTGTTAAAAAACGCAACTCAAAGAAATCGCTGTATCTTGGAAAATACTTATCCAATTGTGTTCATTTTTTCAGGAAAGAAAGAAGAGACTGTGTGTGTATAGCTCCTACTGTTAGTTAGTTGTAAAACATGATACCTTGGACACCTGTTCAAAAGACATTAGTATTAGAAAAACGCAGTCAGAGGTAACTGCCAGAGCAATAAACCCTAATAACTTTCTAAACATGGTGTTTTGGCACTTCAGATTCAACACAAGTTATCTTCAAATAATGTGTAGTGAATTAAGGGAGTTTCATTAAATCACTCCAGGGACTTTACAGTCATGGTCAAAATACCTTCTTAAGTCTGGCTGAACCAGGGTGTTTGACTGAGTTTTGAAAGCATTTCGACCAAAACTGTAAAGTCCCTGGAGTGATTTTGATTTCACTCTACAGATTTATCATACATTGAATGAAAATGATTTGTGCCAAATTTGAATAACCAAAACACTATGGTTAGAAAGTTATTTGGTTTGATTGCTGTGGCAGTCGTCTCTGACTGCGTTTTTCGTATCTTTCTAATACTATGTCTTTTGAGCAGTTGTCCAAGGCATCATGTTTTGCAACTAACAACATGAGCTATACACACACAGTCTCTTCTTTCTTTCCTGAAAAATGAACATAATTGGACAAGTATTTTCGAAGATATAGCGATTTCTTCGGGTTGCGTTTTTGAACACCCTGTACTAGGTAAGTTTGATACCTAGACGATTTAAGTGACGATAAAATCTTTGACTTATAAATCTATAAAGGTCATAGTCATTTGCTGTATATTCTTTCATCACAGCAATGGTTTCATTACTTGGTCTTTTCTTGTTAAGTGAACGATTCTTTACATGCTCCCCTCGCAGGTCATTGTACGCTCTTGACATTTCATCTGTAAACCTCGGTAAAACCCTTTCCATTGCTCTAACAGTTTCGTTTAAGTGCTCAGTCAGACCTACGAATGCATAATATTTTTCAATGTTTGATTTTGCATTGGCACTGGAAATCAGCGAACGGTTGGTGCTGTACTTCCCTGAAAACCAATATGAGTAAAATGAGTGATCTACTTGGAATTCGAGGCAGCCTTTTTTGTTTCGTCCTTTTCTTACTAAACATGCAGCAGTTTGTGTAATATTCATGCCCGAACATCCAGTTGTATTTTTCCATATTTGGAAACATTCTTCAAATGGTTGATTAATGTCTTTATCAGTAAATTTCAAATTCTTTATGTGCCTTTCGGAAGATCGAAAATAATAGTAATGGGAAATCCATCTTTCTACCGGATCCCGTACTATGTCTATAAATAATGGCTGTTTATAGCCAAGCTCGATGAAGTCAAAGAAACTGAGATGTCCTATGACGATTGTGGGACTTTCTTGAAGAAGATGAGTTAATGCAAACTTTCGTTTTTTCGCAACAGTTTTTAATTCGCTTTTTTTCGGCAAAGGTTCGGCGTTGGATTGTAAATTGTTAAATGTATATTTTCCGCCATATTCACAAGCAGCTTTCATTACAGCATTTAAAGTGGTGCTCCCACATTTAGGACTCCTGCTGTATAATACGAGATTTCTGTTTCGATTTTTTTCCTCAAATCCATTGAGATAAATGTTGCTTCTTGGCTGTGTAATGTAGCTAGATCCGTTATATCCAACAAAGTTTGATCGTTTTGCACTGGGAGCTGGCGGATTTATACTTGATATACATGTATTCCATGAGCATTTCAAATTCGCAAGAAGTATTGTTGTTGCTACTATTGCAACTAAAAGACACATTGCTTTGCTTTGAGAAATCATGATTTTCAAAATCTCCCACCCGTCACAGTGTTAAAGTAAATCGACTGTCAAGTTGTTCATAGTGTGATCTACTGTACCCCTGGTAACCTTGCAAGTATTTCATATCTGAGTATTTTACTCATTCAGTGAAAGGGTATATACAAGGGGCGATCCATATATTCTGATAAAAATGCTCTCATTTTGTTATTTTTTCTCGTATTCCTCTCATTTTTCTAGAAAATGTAGATTATGTAATTAGACATACAATACTAAAATATTATAGCTATATCTTAAATTGATTAAGAGATAAGGTTGCCATGGTAACCTGCATTAAGGGTAGGCAGGTCAATTAAATTATAATGTATAAAGTATCATAATACCTAGTTATTTTAATTATTTAAAAGGATGCGGACATCATACATTTTTTCTAAAAAATGTTTTGTATTGTTGCTCGTTGTTTGTTGCTAAACAAATGTTTATTTGTGCTCACTATACCATCACAACAACTCACAATAGCAATGTATGACAGAATGGGTCAAGTGGCGTTACATGTCATGAGACACACCAAAAATAAAAATGTCATATGAGGTTAGTGTGGCTGTTGCGGAGTGTGGCATTAACATAAACATTGGGAGTACTATTGGATTTTATGTACTATCAAGAATAAGTAAGAGGACACCATCAGAGACATACATTGACTCGTATAATGTATGGACAAGGTGTTATATCTGCTCTAAAAATCTCGAGGCGGTTTTGTGAATTTGAGGAAGGCATGGTCACTGTTGAAGATCATCCACTATCTGGTTGCAAGAAGAGCTTGCGGACAGAGAATAACACTACGATAATTTGAGATGCAATATATGAAAAAAGAACTATCCCACTATGGAAATTAGCAAACAAGGGCAACATGGGGCCCATGAAGCAGTTCAACGAATAGTTGGCAATGACCTGGATATGCGTTTGATCTGCTTAAATTTTATAATTTAACTGACCTGCTTACCATAAATACAGGTTACCATGGCAACCTTATCTCAAAATTAATTAACAAATATAGCTATCATATTTTAGCATTGTATGTGTAATTATCTAATCTTCAAGTTCTGAAAAAATGAGAGGGATATGTGGAAAAATCACAAAATGAGAGCATTTTTATCAGAATATATGGATCGCCCCTTGTACAGTGTGAGTAACAGAAGCACGTGGTCTGTTTTCTCGTTCGTGCTGTGTCGTGACGTCTGTTTCGTGTCCTTTGTGCTGTATACGTGGCTTGCTTTATACACTGTGGCTAGTCGATCTATGTGGATGCAGTCATTTATATGTAATGTATCGTGGGTGCTCGCGTACATTATAGGGAATGGGATCATTGCAAAAATATGACAGCAAATCGTAAGTGATCTCAGATTTTCTACTTAACATTGTGACTTGAAATCTTGCATACATATTTAATATACATAGTATGACAATGTGTGAAAGTTTAAGCTACCATATTCCTGTTATAGGGAAGATATTTCAGAAACATTTCGTAAACGTCAACATATATGTATAAATAGATGCAACTATGTATCATTTGGATTCAGAACGGTAAAAAATGGATGCTTTAATAAATTATACTTTTATCATGATGATTTATTTACTGATGGACAACTGGCCAGATTTTCTTTGTATACATTGTTCGGATAAACATTCCTTATTCATTAAAGTAATTAGCCACCCCATTACAAGTAGTCTAAAGACACCCTCATGAAAAATTAAAAATACTATATATAAACCCATCAACTGGAAAATGCCATTACAGATGAAATAAATGACACGCGGTCCTGCTCACACAGTGTAGAACCTTCAGAGGAATGTATATCCTGATTTTCAAACAAAAGTATTGGTAAATATGAGATCAATGAAAGATGAGTCCTCTGTTGTTGGTTCAGATATGATTTGTTGTAGTCAAAGGAAAACTATGAATTTGACCTAGATTTTGACCTAGGCCTTTTAGTGTCCAAATTTTGAAGGAAAGTAGATTTTGAGGACGGCTTCTATTGTAGATTCTTATTAAGTTGGCTGCATCCAAGCGGTATCTAGTGTTGTGTTGTTACAATTGATAATTTTCTCAAGCCTCATTGACTTAACATGGGATAGCAAAATAGCGATTTTTGAGATTTCAAAATGCCATAACTTCCGAACCGAAAGTCGGATCAAAATCTGGTTTGCAGATTCGGATTCTTTGGACAATTCCACACATATTTCATAACTCATACATTCAATTCCAAGAAGTTTTTATTGTGACCTACTTTTCGGTCAAAAACGGCAAGAGTGATCAAAAACAACTTGCCTGTAAGGATTAGCTTTTTTCCAAGGAACATGATTAAAAAACGGAGCAAAAATATTGAAGGACGACTGAGAAAATTGAAAAAAGTACTGGATTTGACCTAGTTCTTGACCTTTGACCTAGATTAAACCTGATTAGACCTAGATCTGGACATGGACCTGAACTGGACCTTGACTTGGACCTAGACCTGGACCTGGACTTGGACCTGGAAATGGACTGGACTGGAAATTTTTCAATCTTTTCTTCACTTCTCTTGACTTTCTATAAGGCTATCATCAGATCGATTTTTCTCGAAATTTAAAAATCAGCAATTTCTCGGAAACCGGGCGAACTTGGGAAATGGCGATGATAGGTCAAATAGACATTATGGATATGCATAAAATGAATGTGGAAATGACTCAATCCGAATAGCAGTTTTAATTTGTGAAGCAAATGTTGACAGATTGACGGACCAACGGACGGACGGACGGACCAACCGAAGGACGCCTGGTCGATCAAATAGGCTTACTGTGTGAGCCAAAAACTATGGTTTTATCGCTAATACTGTTAATTTGAAAAACGGGTCCATAACATGTAATGATGACAATCCGAAAATGTTGAAATTAGGTACGCCAATGAAGTGAATTCAGAGCAAAAGACCCATCGACCCACTGGAATACCCACAAATCAAGTTTCATAGCCTTGCCCAAGTCGGTCTCTTTTGTTTATCTTGATTTCCGTTATGACCGCCTTGTACCCAAGAGAAAGCCACGTGCATTACCGACCCAATGTTTTCACCCTATGCAGACAGAGCCTGTCGGAAATATTGGGTGCGGCGCAAATGAGCGGAGGGTGCGGAGCTAACGGTCATTTTTTAATTTAAAATTGGGATATTTCTGAAACTAAGCCGTTTCGGGACTTCAAATATACCAAGATATGTGTATTTGACACCAAATATCAATAAAATTGTGAAAATAGTAGTGCAATTCATTTAATAGCGACGCAGTATGCCTTAAACATTTCCCAGACCTATATTTTTTGAGACTATCCCCTAATACTGCGTCCCCAGCATTCATAAAAAATGGTGTTCAAGATACACTACCCATGCAAATTATTTTTGCATCTTGGAAGCCAGGCAGTATCTGTGTGATTTTATAAAAATTCGGAAATGTTCTTCAGATATGAGCCCCCTCTAAATATTGGGTGCGGAGGTACGTTTATGGAGCTCCTCCGCACCCAATATTTAGAGGGGGCTCATATCTGAAAAACATTTCGAATTTTTATAAAATTACACAGATACTGCCTGGCTTCCAAGATGCAAAAATAATTTGTATAGATAGTGTACCTTGAACACCATTTTTTATGAATGCTGGGGACTCAGTATTAAAAGGATAATTTCAAAATATATAGGTCTGGGAAAGGTTTAAGGCACACTGCGTCGCTATAGAATGAATTGCGCTACTATTTTCACAATTGTATTGATATTTGGTGTCAAATACACATATCTTGGTATATTTGAAGTCCCAAAATGGCTTAGTTTCAGAAATATCCCAAATTTAAATTCAAAAATGACCGTTAGCTCCGCACCCTCCGCTCATTTGCTCCGCACCCAATATTTCCCACAGGCTCTGTCTGCATAAGGTGGTTTTTGTCGGTAAAATTTGACAAATCAACGACAAACCTACATTGCCGGACTAGGTCTTCGTGCATTTCCATCGAGAATTTAGTTTTGATTTTGAATCAACATTGAACTTTTACTTTAGCGAATAGACTACATAGTGTTTTACCTAAACTTGTTCATAAAGACCAATCCTCATACATAAAAGGCAGATATATAGGAAATAATGCCAGACTTTTGTTAGATCTAATTGATTACTCTAACTATGAAAATATAGATGCATTGCTTTTGTGTTTAGATTATAAAAAGGCATTTGATAGCATTAATTGGGCATTCATGTTCAAGGTACTAGAAACACTGAACTTTGGCAAAAATTTTATAAAATGGAAAAAAGCTCTTTATAATGATCCAAAACTTAAAATCAAAAACAATGGGCATATTTCTAATGAAGTAAAAATAAAAAAAGGTATACGGCAGGGATGTCCGGCATCTGCTTTGATTTTCATAATATGTACTGAAATAATGGCAAATAAGCTGAGAAAAAATGACAAAATTAAAGGAATTAAAATTGACAAAAAAGAAATAAAAGTAATTCAACATGCAGATGATACCACCCTCACATTATCAACTAAAGAATCTATTCGCGAAGCACTTAAAGAAATAAATAATTTTTCTGAAATATCTGGACTTAATTTAAATATGGGCAAAACGGAGGGAATATGGTTAGGTAACTTAAAAGGTAATGGACATCAATATGAAAATATTCATTTTGGAGTAGAACCTGTAAAATGTCTGGGAATATTTATTGGAAATGACAAAACTTTGTGCAAAGAAAAAAACTGGGACAACAAGATCAACAATTTTGAAAAACTCTTTGAATCATGGAAAAAAAGAAAACTGACCCTCTTTGGAAAAGCACATGTGATTAACACTCTTGGAATTTCAAAATTAGTATACAATTTAAGTATTCTAGATGTACCCGATGATATTGTTAAAAGAATCAATAAAATTATTTTCGGTTTTCTATGGAAAAAGGATTGGATAAAACGAAATACTTTAATTGGAAATATACTTGATGGGGGGATTAATCTGGTAGACATTCAATGTAAAATTGATGCTTTAAAAGCTGCATGGGCACCTCGTATTAAAACAACAAACACATCGGTTAAAATAATTCCAGAATTTATAATAAATAAGCTTGG